TTTTTTTTTTTTTTTTTAATTTTCTGGGGAAGCTGTACGTTCTCCCGACCATTTCCCTTCCAAGTACCAACCCAGGCCAACCCTACTTAGCTTCCAAGATGAGCCCAGCTGATCTCAGGGCTGCCACCTCGAATGCAAGACATGCATTCAATTTTTGGGGGTGCCTTCAAGTCAGCCTTGATTCCTGGCAACTACAAGGACCAGTCCCTGCTGTTATTTAATTAATTATCAATTAACTACATCTAAACTGTGTGTGTGTGTGCACACGCACATGCCTTCAAGTCAGTTTTGACTCCTGGACAAGTCCCTGCAGTTTTATAGGCAAGATTTCTGAAGTCGCTTGCCCTTGTTTTCTTCTTCCTAGGGCTGGGAGAAAGGGACTGGCCCAAGGCCACCCAGCTGGCTTCGCGTCCCAAGCAGGACTAGAAATCAGGTCTTCTCCTGCTCCTAGTTGAGCGCCTGAACAGCTGGACCAAGCCAGCTTTCTGGAACTCACTACAAAAAGGCAAAAGCAGGTATCTGAATAAGAACGTTGACATCCTCTTCCCGACTGAGTGGGGTGTTTCATGCAAGCAGACGTAATGTGGCATTTTCTTACTTTCTTTGGGCCAAATTTATTCCCTCCTGCCTCCGCGTGCTGATTCACCCCAGGCGGCTGTTTGCTCAAGGAGCATCTCTTCCCAGAGGCCCAAGCTGAACAAAGGAGTCAATTTGGTTGTTAAAATCTATTCTTTGTTCCTAGGCTTGCAACTCTACACTATTACAGCTGTTGTTCCTCTCTTGGCATCGGTGACAAAGTCATGTCTTTCACGACGCATTGTGTTTGCCTCCCTTATTTATCCCAGAGAGCTCCTGATGGCATTGAAGGACGAACAGAAAATAAAAACTAGGCCTTTGGACACACCGTTTAAAAACATAATGAAAGGGTTTGAAAATAGCATTCTCATGAACTAATCTTTCCTTTTCAGAGTTACGACTGCATTTTCCTTCCACGCTTAAGACTCCTTACCAGGTTGTGTCATCACACACACCATCCTGTGGAAGTTTTACTTTTCTGCAAACAACGGGCAACGTTTCCTTAAAAGTATTTTCCCTTTTAGGCATTCAATAAATGTTGGGATATAACCCGAATCTGTGCCTACCTACAGAGCAGTGAAAATGCCTTTTTCCCCCCCAAACCTAGAACAAAGTATAGCTGTTTCCCATTCATTTATCTTGGTGTTGGTTCTGAAAAGCCCTGTTCTGAATATTGTGATGAATATGGATGCCAAGGAGCAAGGGGTTTTTGACAAATCATGGATACTGACCGAGCCCTGAAAAACCATATAATGTTTAGCTTAGGATGATGGAAATTAAGCAGGGAGGAAGCACGAAGAAACATAAAATTCATGCACAGTGAGCAAAGGGTGGACAGAGAAAAATTCGCTTTAAAATCTGACACGATTTTAAAGTTTTTTAAAGGAACAATCAATATATCTTTCAACTTTGGATCAACCATCATTACTAATTGCAGAGAGATTCAGGAAGATTGCACTGTTGCAACCAAGGCGCAGAAACAATTCCAGCAAGTTAAACGAGACACACAAGCTGGCCCTCAAAAATGTATGCCAAGCTGGGCATTTAATAACCCATGAAAGCTTTCTTAGTAATCTCCACCTCTAATGAACTAACCCACATTGACAGCAAGTGTAATTCTTTCCCTTGGGTCAGTCTTTTTCAAACTTGGCAACTTTAAGATGAGTGGACTTCAACTCCCAGAATTCCCTGGCCAGCATGGGTACTGCTGAGAATTCTGGAACTGAAGTTCACCAGTGTAGAGGGCAATCGGGTAGGGAGAGCTGTTCCCATTATTCAGCCAAGATACGGTACAGGTAGTCCTCGACTTACGACCACAACTGGGACCGGAACTTCCATCACTAAACAATATGGTTGTTAAGTGAGTCATACCCGATTTTATGACCTTTTTTGCTGTGGTTGTTAAGCAAATCTGGCTTCCCCCATTGACTTTGCTTGTCGGAAGCCCTCTGGGAAGGTCACAAATGGCAATCACGTGACCCAGGACGCTGCAATCATTGTAAATACATGCCGGTTGCCAAGCACCTAAAATTTGATCACGTGACCACAAAGATGCTGCGATTATCATAAGCGCAAGGACCAGCAACCACTTTTTTCAGTGCTGTCGTAACTTTGAACAGTCTTTAAACAAATGGTCATAAGTCAAGGACTACTTGTAATGGATGGCCTAACGTCAGGGATTTTGAAGGACACACGAAGGACTGCTGTTACTCCTCCACAGAGGCATTAAAGGAGAAATGACCGTTCCCACTTCCCAGCACACCCACACTTCTTGTATTTACACGCATTCACAAAGACACAAACCCGTACATAGGCAGAAGATGCCATTTTTCAAGCGCACAGGAGTGAGGAATTGAAAACTGCAAGCCCAGAGACCCACTAGCGGCGCAGTGCTTTGGCACTGTCTCCAGAAAGGGCTTGGGAGTGGGTGGGACCTCTCTGGAGATGCCACCGTCTCAAGGGGTTGCAGGCAGGTGCCAAATTCACACCCCTGGCTCGGCCAACACAAGACACGGTCGGCGTAGTCTTGGTGGCCCTTTCCCTCGATGCTCCGAGAAGACCCTCCCCAAAGCAAGGCTGAAACCATGACCCCTGGCAAATAGCGTGCCCTGACCAGCTGCCTCGCAGGCAGATGGGGACTCCACCGCCCACGATCCCCAGCCAGCCCCGCTTCCGAGAACAGAAGCGCAACGCATTTGGAGGACGCCAGGCCCAGAGAGCCGCC